CTGAAAAAAAGCTTATATTTGATGGTGGGAAGAATTGCATATTTATCTGCTATTAAAAATGACCTTGCTGCTAGCCAATTTTACACTGCTGTATCCTATTTGGCCACCAATTTACATTTCCACAGCCAGAAAATATGTCATTTAGTGGAAGAAGTGCAGCGTGTACACATGGTAGCCAAAAGGGTCATTTGACACTGGATTTGCATTGCTGGACACATTACTGTGACTGACGTGGAATTACTTCTGGAGACATTAATAACATTTATTTTTTATGTGTTTTATTTTATTTCACTACTTACTGACCGGGATGTTTACACCCCCTTCCTGTCCCCTTTGACATTTTTGTAAGTCATGCAACGCTGTACTGAAATTAATTTTATACCATTTTTGGGAGGCACAGAGCTTTCTTTTGGTGGTATTTAATCACCACCGGGGTTTTTTTTTTTTTTTACTTTACAACGAAAAAAGTACCGATTTAAAAAAAAAAAAAAACAATTTTCTCTTTATTATGTTAGAAAACATTTTTTATTACCCAATAAGATATAAAAGACGAGGTCACATCGGGTAAATAGACACCAAACATGTCACGCCTTAAAATTGCGCATGCCTGCGAAATCGCAAAAAACTACCACACCCAAAATGAGCCATAGGCTTTTACCGCTCATCAGTTTAGTGTTAAAGGAGAACTATGGGGTGAGTGTTTTTCCCCATAGTTCTCCTTAGGGTAACGGGAGGACAGAAACTAGCGTCCTCCCGTTACCCTAAGCTCAGTATACTGAGATGCCGCAGCCGGAGCGGATCCCGACATGGACGTCGAGATACGCCCAGCTGCGTGAGTGACAGCTGGCTCTGCCTATCTAGAGGCAGAGCCAGCTGTACCCGCCCCCACCCCGTCAATTCCGCCAGTCAGTGCTGGCAGATTGGAGAGGGGAATCCAGCCGTGACAGGATCGAGAGGTGAGCGAACCCGGTATGTGTTCGCTCACCTCCCGATCTACTGAGCCGACCTGTAACAGTCTCATTGTCACAGGTCGGCTAGAACTATGAGGTTAGTGGAAATCACTCATCTTATAGTTCTCCTTTAACAGTGATTGATGGCACTAAAACTATTGTTCACACTCTGACATTCGTAATATGTCATATGTGCGGCGTAATGGGCGCAATCGTCGTTTTTGCACGTAGGCGCACCAGACATATTTTTGCACGTGTATGTGTTGGACTTTAACATTTCTTTAGTGGTTTTTTTGTATGTGTATGTACGGCGGCAGAGCAGAGGAGAGATGAGGAAAGAGGGGGGTGGACACGAATGTACCACATACAAGCGAACCAGCGTCTTTACAGACAAAGGACTGCTTGTATGTATACAGCTATCGCAGGCTGTTTCTAAATTTCACCGTTTCCTGCTCGTGCTCGCCATGCGACGAGCAAGTGGGTATGGACACAAAGGACGTTTTAAGATGCCCACCCGCATTCAGAAGGCTCCCGTCCAGCTGTTTCCCTGTGTTCGGCAGATGGGAGGCGGTTAAAGGATTTTTTATGTGTTCTGTGTATAAGGACTTTGGCTGTCTGGCCTGCTTTCCTGAGCTCCCTGCCATCACCAGCTGCATCTCATGCTGACCAGTGTACTTCTAAGAGCACCCCTGCAGGTTCTCACTGCTCAGTGTCTGCTGCCTGCACTGACCTTCCTGTTTGCTGACCACATCTCCTTTCTGACATCGGGGCCAAGTTCTCTGCATGTTGCACCCATTACACCTTACTAGCTGCCCGGTCTTTCCCTGGCTTTAGAACTTACCTCACTATCAGCCATCTTCAGTACCTGATGATGTCTTCTGAGAGCCTGTCTGCTGTTCATCACCCTAAACTGTCTTCATTGTTGCCAGGGACTATGCATCACCTCCACCCCCCTCTGCAGACACTTCTACCTCCTGCAGTATCATAGGTACTCTTTTCATTTTTACTTTTGCTCTGCTCCTTATGCTACTATGCCAGAAAATATCGCACTGTGTAATGATTCTTGAGGGCATCCGGGGGGCTTCCAGACTCTACTATTAGTTCCCTCCATATTACCACAGGCCAGTGGCGTTGTGAGGGGGGGGGGGAGAGAGGGGGGCTTGCCTCCAGGCACAGTCTGAAGGAGGCACCACTGGCCTTTTCAGATCAGTGATGGAATCCCAATTGCCCTGTTGCCACCACCCTACTTGGCTGGCCACACCAAACAATTACAGCCGGAAAGCAGTGTCAGCCCTGTAGTCAGGCAAATTAGGCATACGCTGGGCATAGTGGCAGCGGTGGAACTGAAGGGAGGTCAGTGAACACAGAGGTGGTGAGACAGATTGGCACAGTGGCAGGGGAGGAGCCGGTTGTGGCCCTTTTCCCAGGGAGGGGTGCTGGAAAAACACCCTCCAAATGCTGAGGGCATGTGGCCTGGTATGGCATGGGGGGGAGCTCGCTTGTCCCCCACCTTTCCTGCCCGGATTAGGGTCTGATTGGGAATTTAGTTGAGAACCTCTAAAGCAGGGGTCTCAAACTCAATTCACTCGGGGGCCACTCGACAAATTTGTTTCTCCCATGGGGGCCACTCGACAAATTTCAAACTTTAAAATAAAATGTAACTATATGCGGTATGGTACTACGGACACTAATATACATACAATAAGGCCCCATTCATATCTGTAGCTGCGATAAGGGATTCCTGCGTCAGAAACTTGGGTTTTCCTGCAGCAGGAATCCCTGAGAGAGAGAGAGCACAATCCCAGTCCCCCCCACACACATAAAATTATATAATTCCCAGAACTGGCCCAGAGCTCCCTGGCACTGTGGACCAGGGTACAGGTCCCAACACCAGTCCTCTATAGATTATGGAGTTCTGCATTGCTGCATAATGGATTGCTGGGACTTGTAGTCCTCTATAGCTTATGGTATTATTCTGCATTGAGGTATAATGTATTGCTGAGATTTGTAGTGTTCTGTAGATGGTGTTCCGCATTGCTGTATAATGTATTGCTGGGATTTGTAGTTCTCTACAGCCACTGCCATTCTGCATTGCTGTACAATGTATTGCTGAGATTTGTAGTCCTCTATAGCTGGTGGTATTCTGCATTACTACATAATCTATTGCTTGGATTTGTAGTGCTCTATACAGTGGCAGAACTACCAGGGTCACAGTGGTTGTAGCTGTGACGGGCCCTAGTATTTCACCACTGGTAACCGCAGACATTGCAGGTTACCAGACCCTCCATCCTTCAGACCGCTTGGATCATGTGTGTTATGATTGAACTGTGGTTTGTGTGTGTGTGTGTCGGGGGGGGGGGGGGCTAATGAAAGACTTGCCCCCGGGTGCCTCATTACCTTGCAACAATTGTCCTTGAACTTTGAAATGGAGTGCTTCTGTGTGTAAGCCAAACTAATTATTAAAAGGAAAAAAACAATTTCACAGCCAAAAATTCACTGACAGTGTTTTGGTTGTAACAATCATATTACAGCTTTAAGGCATCCCCTAGACTTGTTATTTATAGGATGTGTGCATTTTTTAATGTTGCCCTCAAAGCTGCATGAAAAGACCCTCTGCATGCTGTTAAGTATTTTTAAAAACTTTTTTTGTATTAGTACATCCCCCATTGCAGTGCCCAGTCTCCCATGCCTTTTTTGAAAGATTTGTAAGGTAAGGAATGAAAGGCAGAAGGATGATGACTAAGTAGGAATTAGGTGCCTCTCAAGAGCCCTGTGATATAAAATGGCAGGCATAAATTTAGATTTAGGCAGACGTATAACTGCAGGCAAAACACCAGTATTTTCCAAGTTAAACCAGTCTTTAGCTGATTTGGTAATTTAATAATAAAATTACGTGTTTTTTTTAATGTAAAATAAATCCAACTTGACTACACTGAGAAAGAAGCACTTTAAAAGAGTGTATTTAGATAAAATGCTATCTAGCAACTAAATAATAATTAAATATCAGTTCAGGCACAGAGTGTATGGAGTGACAGGGGCTTGGTCAGATTTTTATTATCTAAAGCATCCAAAAGTATATCCTTCACTCAGGGTGTTATGGGCAAGTAACTCTAGTCACTGGCTTAATATGAATGTAGTGCAGTCCTTTATTAGGTGCTGTCCTAAAAAGGAAGTTCCTCATTCCTCATTAGGTGGTATCTACACATTACCACTTCACTTATCTCTACTTATAATAATTTTGACTGAGTTGATGATGATTTTATGTACTAGACATAGAATCATGTTCAGAATGAGACATAGGAGACCTCAAAAAAGGTAAGTGGATGTGATTTGTCATAATCTATCACAAATAGAATTAAAGGCTATGCCCTATAAATTGCATGAAGAAGCTTTACTGGAGCAGCTCTGAGCTTGAAGTCCTTCTCTCCTCCCATGATCTGATGGGACCACACCTTCTTCTACCATTACCTGTGCTAATAATGACAGAATCCTCATCACCAGTTTCATCAACACCAGTAACACCAACCATCTTGGCTTACTGCACATAATCAAAAGCTTTTATCAATGTAGCACCACAGTGAAATCTAACATAAACACAGCATTCCGGTAGTCCTAGAATTTAAACCTGCTTGGGACCAACATAGATCTGTACTCAGACAAAAAGGTTAAAAAAAATGATAAAAAGGAAGCAGACTCAAATGAACAACTTGGTCTTTTTCTACTATCATCCTTCTATGATTCTATATTTCTAAAATAAGGAAATAAATAAATCATCAAAACAATGGGAAAACTAAGTGTATAAATTAAACATTCAGAAGTCATTTCTGGGTAACAGTTAAGAAAGAGCAATGTCCATTGTATTGAACAAGAATTGCCAAACAGCAGGTGTATGAAAAACAAGTCATTGGGTAAATAAAGCAAGGCCAGAGCTATAATTAATCATACATGAAAAAATGGGTGTATAGTTTCTTTCAGCAAATCATAAGGTAGAAAAACAACTTGAGCAACATATATAAATGACAGGTGGAACCCACTATTCCTTACATCATCATGTGGACCATACTTATTGTCGCGTGTATTGCAGCAGTGTCTGCTGAGCCCCGAAACTTTCATGGGTAAGAAGGAAAAACATGGTATAGCAATAATTCAAATAAAATTAATATACACCTATCACTTTTATTTATGTAATTATTTATTTATGCCTGTTTTTAGAGAGAGAGTATTTCGGGCGTTTCCACAAACCTATGAACAAACACAACTGATCAAATCCTTGGGTGAACATGCAAAGGTACATTCTCAATTTAGAGATTTGACTCTAAGCTAATATTAATTTGCCACTATCTCAGATAAATCAGTGTTATATACATCCAAGCTTTCAAGGATGGGAAATAGGGGCTCTCTTTATTGTTGTTTGTATCCCTGTTGTAGAAAACTCCCTAATTTTCTATCCCAAGGGCAGTGGCCCCAGGATAAGAAGTGAGGGTAAATTTCACCAAAGAGAACCAGATAGCAATAAATACGGAAGTTCTAATCCTTCACCTCTCTTTCTCGGAAACAACTTTTGGCCGTAATTACACTTTGAAGTATATGTAAGCTGTGGGTAACTGTGGGCCTAGGGTTCGGATTATGGAGGTTTTTCTATGTATTATTTTCTTTTTCTTTCTATATTACTGGAACTTGATGGACTTGTGTCTTTTTTCAACCTAACTATGTAACTATGCAAAGGTAAAACCATTTTTTTTTAGTTTTGGATACAGTGTGAAATGGTTAGACCCTTTGTCAAGTTTTTATTTCTAAGTCCCCACTGGGGAGATTCACTCCTCTGTTTATCCTGATGGCCCTGATGGCCCAGAAAATGAGGAAAAATCCAAAGCTGTCACCAGAGCAAAAAGTGAAGGTAAATCATTCAATAGAGATAAACGTTCCTGTGATAACTGCCTAGAATGGAAATTCCCCATACTTTAAGGTGGTTCCTCCCATTTTCTGTTGTATCTCCAGAACAAGAAGTGAAGAGAAATCTCCCAGACAGGTTAGAGGCAGCAAAAAATTACTTGGTAGGTGTTTTAACCATTACCTACACTATCCAAAACTAAGGAAAAAAGTTTAGGCCATACATATACTTTAATGCTTGAGTACTAACGTATTAAGTAAAAACCTTGAGATGTTTATGAAATATGAATGCTTTGATGTAAATGCATTTTGAATTTTGTCGAAGGATTCATTTTCATGCATAGAATGTTGATGTTTCTGACCGACTTTTAAATATTGCATTGTAAAAATAAGTCTTGTGGTTTTAACCTTCGTTCTTTCATGTGTATGTCTATTGAACTTTCTTTTTATCTGAATGATAAACAGACTTCAAGTGCCTATGTCCTTGTATAGCTGAAAACTAAACTTAAATCATCTGGCAATACTGTAGACATGCATTGTATTTGTAATTTCTCCTATCATGATTTCATGTGCTCACTGTTCCATTAACACTTTCCTATATAGCAAATGTTCTGGAAGTAAGCATATAGTTAATGACACAGAGACCTGCTTCATAACTTCATTTGAAAACATTAGTGTGATATGGAGGTGTGAAAGCGAAGTATGACATTTCATTATTCTCTCTATTTGAGTAGGAGTGAGTAACTGACCCAGGATGAGAAAAGGATACCAGATAAAGCTGAAGTTTAATATCTTTATATTTGCCTTTCCTAGTTGCTCTCCCTCATCAACATACTAATGATTTTGTTTTTTAAATAAAAGCTATGTTTTCATTACATATCCTATTTTAGACCCCTTGACTTCATTGCTGGGTCTCTGGATCTCTACAATGCAGGCAGATCATGATTGGTGTGAGGGGTCAGCAGAGTGCTGTAGATAGCTTCCTGTAAACATCATGGCATAGTGCCTCAGTTCTGTTGGTTATGTGTTTAGATGATGCATTACGATCTTGAGGAATGCTGAATTAAGTTTCACTTGCTTAGGACATTACATTACAATACAGTATTTTGCAGGAAACACACATATATATATATATATATATATACATATATATTAACTTCCTGTGTATCATAGATAAGCATGCACATAGAAAGTAACAGTACCATCCACAGCTCAAAAGACCAATTATCAGTACATGCTGTTGCATTTCCAACAAGCACGAATCTCAAGAGCCCTCAGTCCTGATACAAGCAGTGGGCTGGCTCCTGGCAGGAGTTAAATTTCAAAGTGCATTGATGGATGGGTGTCAGTTTGAAGGAGAAGGCATTCCTGGGCAGACTGCATTCACATACCTTAGGCGACACCCCCATGTGATGCTGGGCCTCCATAGGAACTGAAATGCATTGAATAAAAGGGGTAGACCTGGAACAGTAAGGCTGGGGAAGAATTGGTAGGCATTCTTAAAAGTCTGGTTATGTATGCATATTTGAGGGTTTTAGGGCAGCCTCATCTTGGAACATAATAAAGGAGGAAAGTGTTTTTTTTTATTGTTATGGAAATAACCATAGCTTTCCCTATGCATTAATCTATAGAGGATTAAGATCAACAAGTCTCATCCAGCTGTTAAGATAACAAATCCATTCTGTTCTGTATTTCATTCGTTCGACAATCATTGTATTTTTATGAAACTTTTACAGAAAAGGAGAAATCGTTACTATATATACATTATGCATTATTATTTACATTTTACATTTCAGCTTGACTTTTGGGCTCCTGACAATGTGGATCTTTTAGAACCAGGCAGACAAGTTGACTTCCGTGCTGACAGACAGGTGTCTTATGATGTTCAGGCCATGCTCGAGCAGAGTGGAATTCCCTTTGAGTAAGTTGAATTTTAAAGGTAAATGACAGGCAATGGATCTGGAGAAAACAGTATGCTGAAAGAAAGTTAGGTAGGCAAGATAGTCAGTGACCTCATTATGTTTCAGTTATGAGAATTGTATGATATTCTTTATAAGGATACCACACATGTGTGATTTTTACACAAGGTAGATGAGGTGGTGCTCTAAGTTAGCCTTTAAATTATGATTTTTCCTTTGAATATTACATCAAAACGCAAAAAGAATATATTTGAGTAAATAATTTGTGAAACATCAAGGTGATATTGAGTTGGTCATGTGTAGGCATAGATTAGTGCAGTAGTACCATTTACACAAGTTTGTAATTGCAAATATGCTGGATCACATGCTTCTATTAATAGCTGACACTACGCAGTAAGTGTCATTGTCATTCACAACATGTCTGTTGGAACATGGCGCTATGTTTAATATTTATTAATGTGTTTAATAAAGTATGTCCAACCAAACTTGGACATACAAGAAAGGGATAGAATACCTATTGGGATGCTAGCCTTCCCTCTAAGTAACAAAAAGAAAGAAAAATACCACTGTGTGTTGCTTTTGGAGTTTTCCTGTCTTTTAATACTGTTGTCACTGTGATAGTAAAGCTGGCCATACACTGCTCTATATTCCTTGATCAACACTCACAGGTGTTGATCAAAGAATCCCTTCTGTGGCCACTGTCAGAATACTCGATCAGAGCCCACTGTTCATTGGCTGCCAGCTCTGTTTGCATGAAGATTTTCCAACCGGCTCCTTCAATCAGTTGACCGAGGGATATCAGCCGTCAGGGTGCTGACAGCGGCACCCACTGTGCGAATTTCGGCCGGTTCATAAAAAAACGGCCAAAATTTGCAGTGCATGGTCACCATAATCTTTCTAAAGGAACCCCAGATAACAGTAAAGCCCAAACAGGGGTGCTCCCACTCTAACCAAGAAAGTTTTGGCTGGACTGATTTTTTTTTTACAGATTATTTATAATAGTGATATATTTTTCACTGTTATCCGCATAAAATAAATCTCTGTTACAGGCATCTATAAATACTGGATAGAAATACGGCACACAGATCTAAGTGCAGTATAAAAGTAACTGTTTAATAAAGGGTAAAAGTAATGCACTTACAGGATATTTAAAAACATCTCGCCTGTCACAGATCAGATGGAAGTCTGATCTCAGCTGCTGGTACAAAATTGTTAACAGGATAGATGGCACATGGAGAGAGCAGAGTCCAGTCTAGTCCAGAAAGATTCCAGATCACCTGTCCTGGAAGACACAGATCTGATCCAGTGTCTGAGCAGTGCTGTAGCTGGTTCTCTTCAAGGCGGGATCACAGCTGCTGAGTACTTCCGGGTTGTCAGGTGTCAGACGTTAATAGCCAATGCGTTTCAGAGGTTCACCTCCTTTGTCAAGCCTAAGGGTGGAGTGGGAAGAGTCCTTTATATAGGGGAAGGGGGAGCATAAAGCGCTTTGGCGCCAACTAACCGGGCTGCAGGACCAGTGCATACATCTTCTCTGGATTAACCACCAGGATAAATGGAGCTCCTTTAAGACTAATAATATACAGCCCATAAACAATCAATCTAGTTGCGCAAGTTGATGACTTCTGTTTTATTATAAATACTGGATAAGGACGAGTTTTGTCTCTTCTAGGATGGCAAATTAACTCGAAGAGAAACTAATGCAACTTGTCATGTAGCTTCATTGTATAAGCCTTAATATTATACTATGCAGCAGTACCCTTTTTAAATTAGTCTGTAGAATGATCAGAAGTCCAACAGTTGATGGATTTAGCTCTCTAGCATTGAGCTGGACCATGAGCAGTCTCCGTCTCTGTCCAGTCACTGAGGTGCCAAGGCATACAATTGATACTGCAGTATTGATTTAAAAAAAGCACTAAAGGACGAAAGTGGCAGAGTATAGTGGCTGCCCACATTAAACCAAAAATAACCCACTGTATGGATCAAACAAAAAAAGTCCCACAGCCAACTGACATCTGATTACTATGGCAAAAATGTTCTAAAATGTGTAACCTATTATAATCTGTTTTCTCTGCAGAATTCTGATCGATGACCTGCAGCTTGCACTGGAAAAGCAGCGTGACAGCAACATTCGTGCAGTACACAGCTATGAGAAATACAATGATCTTGACACTGTATGTATGCCTACTGTAGTTCTCTAAGAAATCAAATTAAACTATCAAATTACTCATAGCAACTAAAAATATATGTACCCCAAAGATCAATGCCTGGTCCGCTAACATCGCCGCTCAGAACCCTACTTTGGTGACACGCTCTCAGCTTGGAACCTCATACCAGGGACGTCCTCTGTATTTGCTTAAGGTAATTTTACTGTCAGGATTATTGCCAATTCACCTTTGTACATGTTAGTATTCAAACATAAAGTAATTTCACAAGGAATAATATTCTGCAATATAATAATTTAATATAATTAATCATTATATATAAATGTTGCTCTTGGGTGGAGTAGAGTAGGGTTAGATTACACATTTGAAATTCCTGGCTGTCCTGGAGCCTTGTGGGGGCATTTCTCACCTCCTTATAATGACTATGGAGAAAACTGAGCCGTTCACTTTCATGGCCTTGTGTGTACTCTACATGTCCCTGTTTAGCTTGTCATGCCTGTGTAGTAAGAGAATTCTGATGGTGGCAGACTTTTCCACACAATTGGGAAAATCTGTTTTTCAAGGGCATGTTTTTCTAATGAGATTTACAGAAGAAAGTTTCATTGCAAAATATTTTCTAGTAAGTGGAGAGGCCCATTTTAGAAGATATGTATTTTGCCTGTGCTACGGACATTACCTTTTAGTCCACCATTGTACTCATTTGGTTCTAAGTGTTAATTCACTAATATCATTTGTTCACTACAGAACAGAATATGTCCCTTGAAGAGAGAACCCTTGACATGCTAACATGAGTCAAGGGTTCTCTGCAGTAATCGTGTATTGTATGAGCTAGCTAACAAATGAAGTATAGAAGGAGAATCACTAAATCCAGGGCAAAGCACCTATCCTTGGCCTGTTCACACAATGGGCATATTTCCTTATGATCTGTCCAAAAAAGGTTTCACTTTCTTTGTGGTCTGTTCCTACTTTGTATATTTTTCTTTCCTGAACAAGTATGTCTACAATAGATTCATCTTGCTCTATTTTGCTTAGTTGGTTCAAAATGAGTGACAGTTATATTTTTATATTCAAGGTCGGAAGAAGTGGAGCAAACAAGAAGGCTATCTTCATTGACTGTGGATTCCATGCTAGAGAATGGGTCTCCATTGCTTTCTGCCAGTGGTTTGTAAAGGAAGTGAGTGCATATTCCTTTAAACAAGATCAGTTAATATAGACCATATTGGAAATAGTGTATCATAAAATCAAACTGCTGACAAAATTATGGGGGCATATATATAATGCGCTAGCATTCAGCAAACATTCACTGGTGGTGAATAATGTATTGTTTATTAAAACTGTTCATGAGGAAGACTCCCCTGCAGTGAATGTTTGGTGAATGCCAACTTTACTGCTTTATAAATATGTCCTATGGGTCTTTAATATAGACGTGATTAATTACATGTATATGTAAACATATCAAAAACGTTTTTAATAAACTGTGTAATACCTCCCTTGTGTAGACATCCACAAGCCCTAAGACAGTTAGCGCACAATGCCATCTTGGATATAATATCAGCAGCTCCAGCAAACTCAGAGCTGTAACTTAAGTGACACTCTATGGTATACCCGTTCACTCCTCACTAAGCAGTTAGTTAAAAAAGTTATGTAGGGAGGTGAAGGGAGGGGTAGAGGACTTTGGCCAGCACACAGATTAATAATACACTCCCAAAAGAGAAGAGAGCTATCCATGAAATGAAAGAAGAAAGGAGCTTGTGCTAGGGAAATGACTAGTCAATCATACTAGCACATTGAATGTCCAATTTAGATTGGTAACAGGATCTCTTTAACTATACTGAAAAAACATCAATCTCTCCACTGTGTTAGTCATGCAGTATACAAATTAGGTCAATGCCAGTATTAGGCAGTGCCATAGCCTAAAGTCTGGGGTGTTTAGAACCTTTTTTATGGAATTATACACAATGAGCTTGTCAAGACATTCAGCACTGTCATGCAATGTGATATTAAACTGCAATGGGTACAGGAGATGATAGAATATAGGTAACCTATATTAATCATGTTTTCATATTTCAGGCAGTTAACTCTTATGGGGTCAATTCTCAGTTTACCAACCTCTTGAACAACCTGGACTTCTATGTTCTTCCAGTTCTCAACGTTGATGGTTATGTGTACACCTGGACAACAGTGAGTAGCCGTGTGAGCCAATAACAATAGGAGCAGTTATTTTAGTGTAGCTAATGTTGAACTCTAATCCTGGCATTGTTCCCTGTAGAACCGCATGTGGAGAAAAACTCGCTCTGCTAACCAGGGTTCCACCTGCATTGGGACTGATCCAAACAGAAACTTCAATGCTGGATGGTGCAGTAAGTGGCTTCATTTAAAAAAAAAAATGTTTTTAAAGAATCCTATTAAAGTATGTCTTTTTAAACCCAAAGTGTGCAGACCAGCTTTAGGAAATAAAGTGTTCCTAGTGTTCGGATGTTTGCAAGTCTCAACAGACTTTGACACTATGGGTGTTGGTAGTCCCTCCACAGCTAAAGATGTTCAGATTGTCTAATATGCAGATATGTGGATGTCTAATGATGTCCTGGTGTAATTACACAGGTATGGCTTCCACCTAATGTTAATACAAGATTTGAAAATTTGTGCTTGATTGTCCTATTTATGTGCTCCAGTTACCATAAAAAGCAGCTGTGTGTGTACCACCACAAAAAAATTATCCATATTACCAAATAAGCCATGCTATACCCCTTTAAATATCCCAGCAGCAGTGATAAGCTAATGTTTAAATGAATCCCCAAAAAACACTGCGCTCAAACGTTACCTATAAAGTGCTAAAAAAGTTATATCAGCATATTATAAAGTACTCAAAACAAAACTGAATAGTAAACAAATTCTGTGGTTATTACAATTAATTATAACGTGCTTTCTTCCACAATTAATCTCTTCCTGTAAAAGAATCTAATTTCATAAAAACTTTGCATAAATGTTAAAATGTGACAATGTCCCTTTAAAAACCATAAAATGTGCTTATTTGTGCCAAAAAGTCATTTTTACAATAAAGTGCTCTTCGGTGCAGATTCACCCATGTGCAAAATCTTCTGAATAACTCACTAACCAGAGGCTGTTGGTCACTATAAATAAAATAAGCATACAGTGCCTTTTCTTAATCAGCAAAAGCATCGAACTTCTTCCTCTGTGCAGATCAGCTCCTTTAAATAATCCTCTCCACTGGTACTCACCAGCACAGACACTGATCTCTCTGCCTTGCTTTCCCCCAAGCTTCCTTAACTCTGGCCAGAACTTCACAGCTCAAAAGAAACAAATGGTCCTGTCATGTAAAACAATCAAGCAAATCTTTATTAAAAATGAAAATTCCACTTACCGAATGGAAAACAATCTTTAACTCATCTCAACCGATTAGCTCAGTGTCTCTCCAGCCTCTGCTCGTGACTGTCAGCATACCCCAATCACCCATTTGGTGTTTTTTGGGATTCAAAAAATTATCTATGTACTATGAATCTACAAAAACACAATGCTAATATAACCTGATATCATTCTGACTTCTATGAAAAATAAATAAATATAGTGTACATATTGTTATATCCACCTACAACGATAAAACAACATTTTTTGAGACAAAACAAACTAGAAAAAAAAAATCTCCATCTCAGCAAGTACATCCACCCCAAAGGTGATACAGTGAAAAAATTAAATCAAATATTTTTCCAGAGTTTCACAAGATGATTAAGGGTCAAATGAATGTCTTTCCCAGTGCTTCACAAGAGAATTCAGTTAGTTCTCCCAGATGTCTTCATAAGGTACTTGAATTTAGTAATTGCAAATACTGGCAAAGATATGTTTTAGGAGTTAAGGGACCAAACAACAAACCTGGATGACATAATATCCACATATGGGCTCCATGCATGTGTTGCTCACAGCTTTTCTTTTTCATGTATGTAGAAAATGAAAGGAAGAAACCTACAGTAGGTTTATTTATATATGAATACATCAATGCATTTTAAATATTAATCTATTTACTGTATTCTGATTTTATGTTTTAATATTTACCTTTTAAGCTGCCGGAGCCTCTAATAGAGCTTGTGATGAAACATACTGCGGTACTGCTCCTGAATCTGAAAGGGAAACGAAAGCTTTGGCTAACTTTGTGCGTGCCAACATTGGCTCCATCAAGGCTTACCTGACTATCCACTCCTATTCCCAGATGCTGCTGTTTCCTTACTCTTACTCCTATGCTCAGGCCAAAGATCATGTTGAACTGGTGAGTGTGACAACACCCCTTGTCTTCCATATGGTGGGGATGATTTACTAAGAGGATAGGCTTATCAAAATACAATATTAATTAGCTTATTGAATGAGCTAAAGTTGTGCTCTCTTCAGTCATCAAATCATGTGCAAACAAAAATCCCGGTTTTATTATTATTATTACGATTATTATTATTCCCCTTGCACAGTTAACTTCACCTCATTCCCTAAGCTAAGTGACAAGTCACTTTGCAGTAAACGTGCTCTACCACTTTAGTAAATATACCACAATGCATTAGCAATGCACTACATTAAATTATATCTGTAAAAAATAAGTCAAGGCAACTGGACTTGCTGTATTTTTCTTGAAAGATTCAAAGATGTTGGCTTTTCAAACCTGTGTGAGTCCTTAGAGCATATATTTCATTACTATATTTACCTGCCTTTATAACAAGCAATCGCTTTGCTTGCCTCCTGTCGGATTCTCTTTGGGACACATAGAAACCACATGAGATGTCACAACTGTTTGGCACTTCTAGGTGGTCTTATTCTTTAACTTGTTGAAGAAAAATAATAAGGGCACATGTGCAGATATATCGATAGATATAGGTAGATATCTAGATATTGATATATAGATATAGATATTTATTTCTACACACAGTATCTCACTAAAGTGAGTACACCCCTCACATTTTTGTTTAGCCCTTTTCGGCATGGAGTTCACCAGAGCTTCACAGGTTGCCACTGGGGTCAGCCTCACTGACAGGCTGACCCCTCACCCCTTCAACCTCTGCAGCAATGCTGGCAGCACTCATACGTCTATTTCCCAAAGACAACCTCTGTATATGACGCTGAGCACGTGCACTCAACTTCTTTGGTCGACCATGGCGAGGCCTGTTCTGAGTGGAACCTGTCCTGTTAAAAATATGACACTATCAAAGTGTTCACAGACCTTTCTCTATCTTTTGTGTACACAGGATACAATACTCCCAATATTTATCTCAATGATTACAAATGTATATACTGTGAACTGTGTACTCGATATACCAAGTTACTGCTTAACCCACATATCTACTATGTAACCAGTTAAATAACCTGGCATGAGGGAAATAGGGGGTGTTGCTATTGACAAACTTGTTGTGAACATTCTAATTTACCTCAAAGCAGTAGGTTCCTTACTGTTGCTGTTCCAGTGTAACCAGTGCATTTCACTAACTCTGAATCCACCCACCAAGAACTGGACTCCTAGCATCAGACACTGAGCAGGAGGGGCGTTCATTTTGGGTAGGCATTGTTTCCGATTGCCTCTACAACTATGGCTCTCATGGAACTGCTAATAAAATTGTATCCCCTAATCTTCTAGCAGATTGGGTCCAGAGGAACTGATGCACAGTGGCTGAGCAGTCTCTCATGTTTTCCTCCCCAACCCACGCAGGGCAGAAATGCATGGCACGTGTCAGTTGACCTAGACCCAGGTTTATTAGGCAGTAGGCTTTATAAATATATCAAAATAGGCTTTCCTTTTCTGGAATGTCTAAGCACAAGCATGTTGCAGATGACAGTAACTTTCTTTTATTTACACAAAAGTTGCATTATGGCAATAAGCTGTTTTTAAACCAATCATACAGATGAAGCAAATTACACCCCTTTGAAATCATACTTGGCACTGGGACATGACATATACTAATCTGCAAAATTCACCAAGATGTTGTTTCCCAGATAGCAAGGATAACTTGCCACAAACTTGTGTCGGGGTTAAATTGTAATTTTGTTAACTTGCTGCACATATTCCTGGCAAGTTGTAGACTTGCAGAATACTTGCAGCACACGTTCTAGTTGACACTTTTTGAATTTGTAGCAAATTTGCTTGGCAAGTCTACAGCAAGAGTCCTGCAGGTCTTAGTAAGAGCTCTGCAAGCTCGCTGGTCTGGAGACTTGCAATGCAGACTTGTTGTAATTGTGCAACAAAATTGTGAAGCTTGGCAAGTCTGCAATAGTTTAGCAAGTCATTTTGAAACTTGCAGCACAATTTCTTGCTATCTGGGTTACTGGTCTCTTTAATATATTTGTGCCTCTGTGTTTTTTCAGAATAATGTTGCCAAGGGTGCCGTTGATGCTTTGACTGCACTGTATAAAACTAAATACACCTATGGTCCTGGCGGAGCTACAATCTGTAAGTATAATTTCCATTTCATATATCAGTTTATACTATATCTTCAGTTTGTAGAAAAATATCTCTGCACACATTTTAGCTTAAAAGTCTTCCATTCTATTCCTAAAATAATAATTTGTCATTGTATTCTTTAAGCCCCCTTTAGGCTTACTTAGATACCTAAGAACAGTTATTAGGGATGAGTGAAAGGGAGAGTTTTCTCAATTTCTCAGAAAGTCCCTTAAATTTGGCATTTTGGCAAAATGCCAGGGAGTCAAAAGGGAAGGCAAAATGTAAAATGATTGTTATCGGAGCTTATTTCCACTAGGAACTGCTCATTTTGCAAAATATGTAAAAAAAGAAATGTAAAGAAACTGTAAACAGTACACAAATAATGTTAAAATAAACCAAAAACACAAATACAAAGAACACTACATTTTTTTTAATTGTCTCTATTTATATAGCACCAACAATGTTACACAGCGCTTTACATAATTGCACATTTACATCAGTGCCTGCATTCAAGGAGCTTACAATTTAAGGTCCCTATCACACACACATACAGGGCCAGTTTTTGCAGCCAGGAGCCAATTAACCTACCAGCATGTCTTTGGAGTGTGGGAGGAAACCCACGCAAGCACAGGGAGAACATGCAAACTCCTTGTGGATAATGTTCTGTCAGGAATTAGAATCGTGGACCCCCAGTGCTGCAAGGCAGAAGTGCTAACCACTATATAAAACTAACTTAACTACCCTAACTAAAAATAAACACTTTCTACACAAAAATATAAAAAAGGTAGATCTTTTCCTTTAAGCACATTATGCTAAAGCAGATCAAAAAGTAATACTGAGAGTTTCTGCTTCAGTAACATTTTGGAAAAATCTAACTGTATAGTGAAAGATTAGATTGATTGACCAGAAACTGACTAATTGACCAGAAATCGGCTTTTATTACTCCTCCTACTCCAGGCTGCTGACATTATTGACTTCCATCTGAAGATGCTAGTTGAATGGCTAGTACACTGACCTACTGGCATCAGTAATTTGAGTCACTGACAGCAAACAAATGGACATAGATATCAGAAAAGCTAAACAAAAGTCAGATGTCCTTATTTGCATAGTTGTACATGACAAAGCTGAAGTGAGAGGTTCAGGATGACATCCAGGCAATTAGTATTTGCAGAATGAGTATTTGCAATGGCAGCCTCCATGATTTTCTCAGAAAAGGTTTCCTTTAAATAGCAAATGTATTATCTCACAACAACCAATGAGCTTCTCCCTTTTTTTAATAGAAACTTTTTGGAAGATGACTGCTTGTTTTTGAGCAACATAGACAGTGAGGGGAATGTATCAAGACTGGAGCAGACAAAATCTGGAGCAGCTGTGCATGGCAACCAATCAGCTTCTCTCTTTTATTTTCAAATCTTAACTGACAAAACTGAAGAGATAAGCTGATTAGTTGCCATGGACAACTGCTCCAGATTTTGTGTGCTCCAGGTTTTCATAAATCCCCCCCCCCCACCATTATTTTTTAAATGCAGTGCATTTGTGAAAGGAAGAATCTGTCCATAACTGACATTTTAGCTTTTCATAGATGTTGCTGGGCTATACTGTGTAGATTGAAATTAGACAGGGGACAGAATAAGAGACTACAACGCTGAGATCTTTCTATGGAGTTTCAAAGTCAGCTCATTTAGGGTCATTAGAATCAAACAATAACTTAAATGTATCTTTTTAAATTGTATCTATGATAAATATACTTTACATAAAACAATGTATTCTTTGTATGACAGACCTTGCTGCTGGAGGCTCTGATGACTGGGCATATGATGCTGGTGTGAAATATTCTTACACATTTGAGCTGCGTGACACCGGAAGATATGGATTTGCTCTACCTGAAAGTCAAATCAAACCCACTTGCGAGGAAACTTTGCTTGCTGTCAACTACATTGCCAACCACGTCCTGAATAACGCTTAAAAAACTATTTACCAGTGGGGCCAAATGCAATAGTTACAATGACAATTGTAAAGTTCCAATTTTATTTAATGATTTGATTCCAATCATTTTGACTAGTCTAGTCTTTAAATAGCAGTTGGATAAAATGGATGTAAAATTGATTGATAAGGAAAGAAAGTGACAATAAAGGATTTTTAGTGGAAAGATGCATATATTTCATCATTGATTTTATATTGTTGATTTAACAAGAGATGTGTATATTCCAACTTATATCATTGGTATTTTCTAAATGTCCTATTTTGAAAAGAAAACGATTAATGACTAAAGTTGACAAAATGCCAGTGATTTGACTTAAAGTAGCCCATCAATTCAAGGAGAAGTAAAAATATAAAGATAAACTAAAGTGTACATTCAGTGGGGTAAGCATGGATAGAAGACATATCCTACATGATTACCTGCTATGTCAGGATTAGCAAATCTGTCTGAGTTTGTTTCATGAACAGTTTTAAGAACCTTGCTTGAAGTTTGCAAACTTAATGATGGATTAATCTTTTTATTAAAATCTGGTCAGTTGTAAAGCTAGAAAGCAAGATATTGTCAAATAGAAAGCATCTGAAATCAGCACTGCCATGGGACATGAAACTATACAAGAAAAACAAAAAACAGTGTCTATTCCGACAAAGTATTGTCACTTCTCCCTAACAGTTCCAATGCCTACTGACTATACGATTGTTGTGAGCCCACCCAAAGGGGTCTGGGTTCTTCATTCTTTCAAATTACCGCCTCTTCTGGCTGGTGCAAAAGGTATGCATTGTATTTTAGGTTGTTCCTCATTTCTGTTAGCGAAGCTGTAAAGGGCCAAATGTTTGTGATTTGTACTTGCACAAGGTCCCCATTATACACACTACCCCCAGTTTTTAGGAAACAATTGCAAGCCTAGAATTCACCTGCATATTTACCTCCTGTAGTCTCTGGTATCACATACAATTCCCTATAATGACTCTGTATAATGGCATTATTGTGCTTTTGACTGACTTCCCTCTAATGAGTTATACTGAGAAAAGCAGGAAAAAGTTTTGGTGTTTGCAAATAGACTAAGGGAGGAGAGGACTACACTACATGGAAGGGTCTAGATAATTTAGTGAGGATAATGTATTTTATATATCTAATTTTTGTTTTGGGTAGAGGGTTAGAACCCCGTCAGATTTGTATTGCTTATAGTGATGACCATAGACAATGAGATCCTTCTGTACAATCTCCAGGGGGGCATCATAACTTCACCTAGATCAACTACATAATGAAAGCTTTATGCAATCCTCTCAAACAACTTCTGTAGGTAATGAGAGAAATTGCTGTAACAGTTTGATATTGAATTGACATACTTGCATGGTGAAATGGATAATCACATCCATCAGTATACTTGGCCATCTTTTAGGGACATCTGTTCCACATTAGAACCAAGCCATTTGGGTAAACAAAACCAGAAGAACATTGTATCAGACATTAACTATATGAACAAACTATAGAAGAACCAACATAACAACAATCTCCCTACCGGAATCCAACAAACATATCAGTTAATTACAGTCATCTTACAAATAACCAAATTACTTTTCGGTTTCAATCTGCAGCCAGACAATTTCCTTAGAGTAAGTGTATTTTGACTTCAGACTTAGGGCCCATCCACAATATAAGGCAAATTGTTTTCTTTGTGCCCTGTTCACACAACAGTGTGGGTGTGATCGGTATTGCTTTGCAGAAAAGTACAGCATGCTGCATTTTGTTTGCACACTGGATGCCACCAAATGGCAGCACACCACAATGCTGGGCAGGGACCTGAACATTGTACACATTGTGCACTGCTGATTAAGTTAAAAACAGAAACAGACAGCTCTGGCAGTGTGCACTTCACATTGCTGGAGCTGCCACAACGCACTAGCCCATTAGCGGATGGACTAGTGTAAAGTGCTGTCAAATCCATGTGTCATGAAAAAAAAAATAGCTTACATTGGATATCAGTTTGATGTCAGTCTGAGATCAGTTTAGGACATAACTGAAATGTGTTCACATTGGCTTGTATGGAGGAATAAAAGCAAAACAATCAGCAATAAACATCTACTCTGCTCACTATGATCCAATGTAAAATTCAAACACTGCATTCCCTATTTCTCATGACTGGATATAATACAGTTAAGTAACAAATTCAAAGAATAAGCTTTAAAGTGATATTAAAGCCAAAGGGAGTTTCAGCTATTCCAAATGCTGATCAAATCACTTGATGAATGCATTGAATGAATGCTGCTTCTTGATGTTTAAAGGTTATCGTTTCCTGCAGAATCAGATGGTCCCATGAGGACTGGTCCTGACTTTCTGTTTTTAGTGTGGCTCCTTTCTCAAGCAGAGTGCTATGCAGTCACCCTTGTGTGTGCTAGTAAAGTATAAACATTCATTTTGAACCACTAAAGAAAAGAAGACACTGCACCCCTAAATTTGCAAATCCAACAACAAAACTTACTTAACATGGGGCTTTTAAGGTGTCATATCATGAATGAAAAAAAAGGCATGGCAGGTGTCTTCTGTTGCATTAGAGGGAAATCTGCACACTTACAGTGCGTGATCTTGCCTAAGCTTACTGAAACAGGAAGCATCACTTCCAGTTTCAGCCTGTCATTTCCCTGTTTGTGGTGGCCAGATCTGTGCTGCATCAGGTTCAGTGGGGTCCATAGGTGATGTCTCCATAAAGAGGAACTGTCACTTCCTATTTGCTAACACATAGGGGGCAGTGCAAAAATAGAAGTTTAAAAAATAAGTGATGTAATTAAACAATGAAATAATTTTACAAACACGCATTGTGCAACACGTTACATATATCCACAAATGTTGGAATGATAGTAATAATTCTAGGGCCATCACCCACTGTTAAAGGAGAACTATTGGGTGAGTGAATTACTTATCCCCGTAGTTAGAGCCTATGCGTGACATTGAAACTGTCACATCGGCTCTATGGATCGGGAAGTGAGCAAAAACATACCGCCGTTCGCTCACTTCCTTATCTCCCTGCAGACAGTGGTGACTGACAGTCACGATAGCAGGGTGAATCTCGACAGTATTGTAGGGATCCATCTCGGCTGTGGCGTTCTCAGCATATAGAGGGCAATAGCCTGCTATATACTGTGCTTTATTTTTACTTTTATTATAGGAGTAAGGTTGCAAATTGTCAAACAGTGACTGCAGCTTTCAGAATACAATAGCCCAGCAGGGTAGATTCACATGGTTGAATGAGAAAAAACATCTACAGGGTTATTCACAAAAGGGTGAAGAGTTTGGAGAAGGCAGGGGAAGTGAACAATTTAGGCCAAAATAGCTGATTTGGAAAAATTCTCCAATTCAGGTCACTTTCCAGTTCAGCTATGTTGTCCTTGATTATTCACTTCTCCTGCCTTTTCAAAACAATTTACTCTTCGTTAAGGATTATCAGTTCAGCCTGGGATATATGAAGAGGAGATCTCCAGGAGATCGATAGATCATGACTCTGAATGCATTTCCGTTGAATTAAGGATGTCAAAGTTATATTTTAACAAGTCCCTTTGAAGGGATGATAGGGGACACAAACCCCAAATGTCAGCATCATCTCCTGGGCATGGGATCACGTGGTCACCTTTCCTGAACCATCGGAATACCAGTACATTTGGTGCCCCAGGATAGACGTGCCCAAAGGAAGGGGTGATTTTCTTATGTATGTTTAGGTAATAACATATTTTTGTATTAACCTTTTTTAAAAACAAAAGCTCAGCACAATGAACATAATCCATTGCAGTTTGTCAATAACATTAGCACAGCAACTTTGTTTTTTTGTGGGTTTTTTTGGTTTTCTTTTTTTAAATCCCCCATAACATAATTATAGCAGCTGTTGAGCCTGCCATTAGATCTGTTATTATCCATTTCATGTAATAGGCCAAGCTGTCCAGCAAAAGTGACAGTTGGAGGGGTTGAGAGAAACCATATTACAAAGGTGGGATGCTTTTAATGTTCGGCTTTTAGTCAAATGGCTTAAACCCTTTCTCAAAAAACATAGTGATGTAACTGCTGAAAGTATTACCTGAACCCAGGCTTTAGTTTGTTTTCTTTTACTTAAAGTCTATTTAAAATGACATGTTTTAAGACTAAGACTACTCCATCCACAGCGTGACAACACTTCTGGACAATTTCACTTCAGGCTATTGCAGAAAGTAGAAATTGAATAAAACTACTGGCAGGATGAACAGGTAATAATTTTTAGGGCTCATTTACATGGGCATGCACATTATACGGCATGCACTCCATGCAGAGACCTGCTCCCAGGAGGGACAGGCCTCTGGGATGTGTAATTGCGTATTAATGCCTGTACTTCCCTATGTGAGTGTGTGAGTACACGGCTGCACGCAGCTACGTGCCAACCCGGGTGGTCGCATTTGGACACACGCACTGTAGTTGATGTGCAGGTTCGAGTCAGCGTGTAGCAGCGTGTAGCAGCATGCAGCGGCGTACTCCAATTGGGAGGTACAGATGGCTGTTTGAAATTACACGCAGAACCTATCTCTCCCAGGAGCAGATCTCTGTATGAGCATGCACGATGTACGGATGAACCCATGTGAGTGAACCCATAATCAGTCCTTATTTTTCTTTCTACAACCAGATGAGATTGTAATATACAAAGTCCAATTTAGCACAATCTTAACAACATATTATTTCACAAATGTTATATTTGCTATGAAACTTTCCACAGGTGTGCAGTGAAAAAGTTCAGGGCCACAGCTATAATTAAACACAAGCAAAGAGAAAAAAAAGAGACAAAAACACAGATATATATGTCAAGGATCATGTGGCATGCTCTCTAAACAGAGAGTATAAAAATGTGCAGCCAACAATTGAGCTCTTGCTTCGCCAGCATGTGGACCCTTCTCCTAATAACCAGCATTGCTGCAGTGTCTGCTGAACCTCTGACCTTTCATGGGTAAGAAAAGCTACTGTAGCTTCAATTCCACCCTAACTTTAATATCCTCTTACTGAAGTGATGCATTATGGTATTATTTTAATTTTTTTAAGGGATAAAGTCTTTCGGATAGTGCCACAAACTATTGAACATGTGGAGCTTCTCAAATCCATAGCCAGCCAGACAAAGGTATGATACAGATAAGGAATCAGGACGTATCCTAAAATCCTGATAAAGGTACTTATATTTTCATGTAATTGTTTCTCAGCAAATACTCTAGTGACATGAAAACCTGGAGGTCCCATATCTAGAAAATGTTTGTATTCATTTATAGGCATTCACACCACATGTTTCAGAGAGTCTGTAAAATAATGGTGTGAGAAGCCTCAGACGCATACTACATCTGACTCTTGGGCTACATATTAGGTCTGGGGCAATTACATCAAATGCTGTGAAGCTAAGTGGATTCACAATTATTTTCTTGGTCCTTATATGCAGACAAGGAGTCAATGGCAGCTTCTATTTGAAGCTTCTTGCATTGTACTTTGTATCAGAATAGATTTTCCGATCAAAGGCATATTCCACCCAGAATCAAACAGGAATGTTGGTTGAAATCCGGGATGTTGAAGCACAACCCTAGCTACCTCCAGGACCCCAGATCTGACATCTGTATGCTGAAATCTTATATGAACTCTTGCTACAACCATTACCACTTGACTGTGACTTGACAACGCATCTCTACTAACCTAAACGTGAGTTACAGAAGTCCTTTTTTGCCTGTGGCCTTCTTCCAGCCTCACCACCTGTGTTATTCCTTTCCATCCATTGTACCTGGGTCCATCACGCTACTGCCTAGTGAAGAATAGTACGGCTTCATCGCTCCACATCATGACATCATGGTCTCCTCCTCCTCTGCATATTGAAGCGATTGCTCACCCTTATCAAGCCTCACCATTTGCTGTTGCCATTTATTTTCATCCACCACACCCGAGTCCTTCTCGCCGCCTCGCAGCAAGAAAGGGTTCTGACCCTACAAGCCCCGAACAAAGCTCTCAACCACCTGTCCAAGCGAGTACTCACCCTATCACAGGTGAATTGAACACCACTTACCCCCAACCTTCTCAACAGTGATTGCGCTAGGTTGTGGCGCTTCAGTCTCTGGCACTCCATCCCCAGTCCATGGTAAAATCCCAAGCTGCATAGCTTCCTTGATTGATAAGATGCTATCAGCTGCACAGCATCATTGATTGCTAGGATGCTGTTGGCTATGCAGCCGACAGCGCCCTAGGAACCATTAGTGCATCCCCTGCCCCATTGAGCTTCCGAATGTAGAATCCCCAACCGGCAGCTGAATGTAAACAAGGGGGCAGGGATTGTGCTGATGTCATTGATCACATATGGTCATTGCAATATTTACTTAAAGGAGAACTACGAGATGAGTGATTTCCACTCACTGTCAGCATCCAGAGCACCCCCAGGTGGCGCTGGAGCCAGGTCCAACAGTTCCTGTGCTCGCCTGCGGGTGTCTCCAGCAGCCAGGAACTGTCAGGAACCTGCAGCTCCAGTACTCACCTGCGGGTGTGCCTCACTGTGACTGATCATCCCATCACCTGGTGCTTCCTGGGAGGGTATTTAGGCCCTCCCTGCAGTCAGGAAGCTGGCTCAGTATTGCGTCACCTGCACCTGACTGACTCCCCTGGCCTGTGCCTTGCTACCTGGACCCTGCTACCTGAACCCTGCTACCTGAACAATGCTTCCTATCTGCAACCCTGTCACCGATCCAGCTTGTTACCCGACCACTCTCCTTGAATCCTGTTCCTGTACCGTGCTGCCCTCCTGTCACCGACCCGGCTTGTACCTGACCACTCTCCTTGTATCCTGAGGCCTGCCGTATATCTGCAGGCCTGTTACCCCTCCTTGTTGCTATTCCCCCTGGCTGTAGGTGTGTGTTTGTCCCAATGGTGGGTTTGTTACTTCACTGCTAAACCTGTGGGGGGTTGAGGGGGTTTGTAGTTTTGTTGATGTGTACCAAATAAACTGTGTGCATAGAACCCTATCCCGTGTGGGCATATTAATTTGGTCATCCTGCGTGGGTACCTACATGTGGTGTGAGGACGCCTGTGCATGGTACCCTGACACTCACCTCATAGTTCTAGCCGACCTGTGACAATGAGACTGTCACAGGTCGGCTTAGTAGATCGGGAGGTGAGCGAACACATACCGGGTTCGCTCACCTCTCACGATCCTGTCACGGCTCTCTGCCGTGACAGGGGGAGGGGCTGGATTCCCCTCTCCCCGCTCCGATCTGCCAGCGCTGACTGGCGGAACGGACGGGGGAGGGGGCGGGTACAGCTGGCTCTGCCTCTAGATAGGCAGAGCCAGCTGTCACTCACGCATCTGGGTGGATCTCGACGTCCATGTCGGGATCCGCTCCGGCTGCGGCGTCTCAGTATACAGCTACAGCTCGCGGTATACTGAGCTTAGGGTAACGGGAGGACGCTAGTTTGTGTCCTCCCGTTACCCTAAGGAGAACTATGGGGAAAAACACTGACCCCATAGTTCTCCTTTAATGACATCAGACAACATAGCCAGCCCCTTTGGGGTGGAGATTTGGTTGACATCATTATCCAAATATGGCCATTGCCAAGAACTGTGTAGTAAAGAATAGTGCAAACATGTCCTGCTCTTTACTACACAGTGGCCCCACTCTGAGAACTGGCTTGTCTCTACATGCCAACTTAGATGTGGTCTTAAGCATCTCCAGTATATGAACTGATGGTAATTATTTTTGATTTGGTTGCAGCCACAGCGGCACATTGTGAAAGTCACACAAGTAAGAACTACCTGAATCTGCCGCATGGGATGGAATTCTTAAGGAAACTGTCACAAGGCTTTTGTGAATTAGAGACCAGACTTTTTAAGGGACCATGCTGCCAGAAATGTGTTGCAAATGCTTTACTGAATGGCCTGCTTTTTGTTTGGTACTTTTTTTTGCTTACAAGAAACTGTCCTAACACAAGAGGGCACATTTGTTGCGTTTGTCTTTGACAACAAATGTTTCCAAATCTTGGCCTCCATATGGTACCAGTACAGGATTCTGTCAGTCCAGAGTTTTACTTTGGAGGAGTGAATGAAGAGAATTCAAACGCTGAATTTCCAGTCTTGGTATATATTTATTGAACTATACATATTTTGCATAATTTACATTGTTTATAGTCTATAGACTATTATATGATTCTTCCCTTTCCTGTGCCAGAAAATAATATAAATAATATCAATGTGGAATAAGGTTTAAGCAAGTCAAAGACCAAGTCACGTTCTATTTTGGATGACATAATGAAAGGGTTAATAATAAATAAGCAGAAGGATTGTTATGAGAACTTCTTAAGTAAAGCGATTGAGGAATGCACGTTCCTTGACCTTAGGATACTGCTGCTTTAACAATATTTAGAAACTCCGGGATGGAGACAGACAAGAGTACGCTTGAACTTTGGCACACTAGTGCAAGGCTGTATTATATTTTAGTACTACCTAATCTCTATGTCTGGCATGTCACTCTCTTGTCATGGTGCTTCAATAAAGGAAAACTTGAGTCATAGGTAAGGAACCCAATAACAATATATTTATATCTCTTTTAGCATTTGCGTGTATTTGTAAGCTTCAAGCTGCCAACATATCCTCTATTAACAGGTTGTTTTTTTTTTTTACAATGAAACACAGTTAATAAATGTAAAACAATAAATTATGTATTGAGTAGACTGTCACCACCTTTACTATGTTACCTCAGTTAATAAGAACTCCATAGATACAGCTGTTCAACTCTTCTAATACAATTTTATCAGTTACCTGAATAGAGTCTTTTCGCAAACATAATATTCATTTTTAGACCCATGGTCATACATTTAGATAATGAATAAAAGTGCCCTTAAGGTAAACGTAGACATTGTTCACTTATTTACTTGAGAAAATAGGGGAAAAAGGGGTTTGTAGAGAGATAAATACACCCAATGCATATGTAAAAGTTCAACCAGAATGTATTAGACATTGAATAGATAAAATAAAATTGGATCTCATTATTAAATAAACACTGCGTCCAATAAATATAAGTTGACATGTGCCCAGTACATACAGTCTCAGGTCAAGTTGCTTATATATATATATATATATATATATATATACACACACACACATGATAAAATCCATAATATTCAAAAATGCATGATCCAATTAACATCACTGACATGATTGTCCCGATGGTCCCTAATGTACAAAATTGCATAATCCAATTACATAACTAAAATAATTGTCCCAATGCGTTTCGCAAATTTAGCTTCTTCAGGGTACCGGTAGTTGATAGTCATGCATAAGCAGTGCCTGAGGTAAAAACAAATGTGCGTAGGACCGAGATGATTGGGTGGCTGGAAAACCGCCGACCCCCACATTCCATCCCTTGTTGTGCCTGGGACCCCGGGGCATCAGGGGAGGAGCGCCTGGGAAGATTCACGAGAGCCCAGGCTTCCCTGCTGGGATGTTTCTATAGAAGGCATCTAGTAAGGAATGGCCTCCTTCCAGTAGTGTAATGGTCCTAATTCCTCAACCTATTGGAAAAGAGGAAAGGATATTTCTAAAAATTGTAGTCATGGGCCAAAATTCCTTCATGTCTCCACATTAGAACTTTTCCTCTAAATATATTTGTATAATTCGACACATACATATTTGCCTTTTTCAGTTACCACATGTCCCACAGTATCACCCCTCCCCTTATATAGCCCCCACCGCCAAACAGACTAACCGGATATCAAAATTCCGGTCATCATTCGGCGGTGTGGACATTCCATCTGTGCATGCGCCAGCCGGCACACACGCGCCTCTCGAGTCCCGTTACCTAGGAGACCAGGGAAGCCGTCCCTAGGTCTGCCCCCATTTTCTAGTATAGGAGCGGAAGAGCTGCCGCTGAGGTGGACAACTCGCTAATATGGGCGAAGACAAATAGAGGAATGAGTCCAGAGGTCCCAGGCTAATTAGCACATCAGTCCTGTATCTCATGGGCCACAATCAGTGGGGCATCCTATCGTAGAGGGGGTATCCCTCTTGTAAAAAAAACAATGTCTAATATATTGTCTGCATAGCAGATCTGTCATATACATACTTGTTATCATGCACTAATTATATTACCCATAGTCATATTG